TAGGAGTACCAAAACCCACTTCCAATAATTTCATTATAAGAGAAACTCCAAGTTCAATCCTGGTCAATGGTTAGAAATTTATCCTCTTGTTATGCCAAAGCCATATGAAACAGTGGTGTGAATTTAATAATGACTATAACGGTCCCATGAAGCATGGAATATGAAGACTATTAAAAATCTTTCTATGTTCATCCTCATTTAAATTCTGAAATAGTCCAAGTCAAGTTGGGCCACCTGAATTTTAAGTACAAATAGATGTGTTAATGTTATTTTTCATCTCTGGAAAACCAGTGTTAGTGTACCTCGCTGTCCTTCAATTAGGCATATTTGTAACTATATCTAGGGCAAGAACTCATCAAATGTATTTGTTGGCTTGCTTCTGATTTAGAGGGTCCTAACAAAATTTACTTGGTTTGGAAGAGACCTTTTTGATTTGCATAGATGGATTATTATAAGATGTTAGAATTACTGGGGCTTTCTAGTTTTGATAGTGGGTAACATTTATAAATAGACAAAATCGGCAACGTGCAAGGGTACGAGACCAAGTGTATGCATCACTGATGTTCTGGTCTGAACTCTTGCAGGTATATGCAGAGACTTTGGCTAACACGTAAAAGCTGGATTTGTATCCTCCCTTGCTTCAGGTCACATTTTTCAGCCACTGTAAATGGATCATAGATCCCTCTACAGCTGAATACATCTATGCTTCCTCATTGTAATAAGACACAACTTCCCCTGTTGAGCTCTGGCCCTGTAATTTTGTAATCAGACATCAGAGTCTGATTGTGATAATTGTGTGCCTAATTTGCATTCAGAATTACCAAGATTATGCATGTCAATTAGGTGTTTGAGTCCACAATTAGATATTGCACAATTAGTAATTGCACATGGAGATAAGGCACACGGTTGCCTGCAAATGTTTGTGCCTGCAGTTGGACAGATACCCAATTCAAGCTCTAGGAAATTCCAGTATTGATCTACAAGACTCCAGTAGAACAGTAAAGAGAAACCAAGATGAACCATTATTATTTCTTGTGCAGTTTATTACTAAAAAGAGCTACTGAAGATTTATAGGTTAAAAGATTCTTTTTGACTCATTATGAACAGCTTTCTGGGATCTGCTTGATTTCTGAAAGTATAAATGAGGTATTTGTTACCTCATTTCAAAATCCCTTAATCTTTTTCTTTAAATAGATATTTCAGTGGTTAGTGTTTTGCCCTGACATTTTTTTTTCACTACTAGTAGGGTTGAAATAAACTTTTCTGTTTTGAAGTGCTTCTTTAAGGGTTGAAATTATTGAATGATTGTAGAGAAGTTTTGAGGGGCTTACCAGCTTGAAACTTTGGCTTTCTCATGGAAAAATAATATAGCGCTTTTAAAATGCCTTGTCTAGTAAGAAAGGGGGCACTGTAGCATGACTGGCAGGGCATTGCTGTACTGACTGGGCATGTGAAATAGGAGGGAAAAAAAAAAAAAGAGGTTTTAGAGATTTGCATTGTTTTGTTTTGTTGGGTGTTTTTTTAAATAATTTTTCCTTAAAACAACAGTGTGACCAATTTTAATTATGTAAATAGTGTGCCCTTTGAAATCAGAATAGGGTGCCACTCTTTTAGAGGGTAAGAAATTCTGCGTGAAAGAACAACACTACATTTTGGTGCTTTAGTAATAAACAGCCTCAGCTATTTTTTATGCTGCATGTAAAATGAAACATTGTCTCTGTTGGCATGGATCCAATTAATGTGACACATCCAGGGCATCTGGTATGATTAAAAGGGGAAAAAAAGAGAAATGTTAATTTGCATGTCATCGTGTGATTTTTCCAGTCGATATACAAAGTGCTGAAATTCTCAGAAGAAACAGAGACAAGACAGAGAATTAAGGTGATTTTAAAAAAAAAAATTAAAAAGAAAACGCATAAACCCCCTCCAGACAAAGAAACACCAAAACTACACATGCGCTTTAGTTATTCAGTCCTCTTGTAGAATCACCTTGTAGCATCTGTTCACTCTGAAGCCTGGAGGCAGAAAACACTGATTTGTTAAAATTCATAGTGCATGAAATTGATTTTTAACATTGTTACTATTTTGTATCAAACTAACAACACTTTTATTTCTTTGTACATCAACAATGTATTTTTCAGAACCTGTATATACATGTAGCTATTGCAAGAGAAAATGTTTGTTCTCCTGACAGGTGATGTGAACTGAGTTATGTACTAGTTTACTTGTAATTTTTGGCGATCTGTTTATGCTGTATCTTAATACTCAATAACATATATGCACTGTAATAAACTTTCTCAGGCACTTTTCTCTGAAATAGTCAGAGATTTTATAAAGTACTGTGAAAAGCCAAAATAATTATAGTTTAATTATGAAGCAGCAACATATTCCAACGTGGATTATTATTTGTAATAATAAGTAATTATTTTAAAATATCTGATTTTGAAAAGCTAAGATTAGACATTTATTTCCAATAAATTTTGGCTTTGTAGATATTCAGAGAACAACTCTTTCAGGGTGAATCCCTGTGTTAATAGAGAAGCATCTGTGGTAACTGTAAACTATCCTTAGCTCCATGTATTTGAGGTAGATGAGGCTGCGAGCATATGACTGCTTTAGCAGCTTGAAAACATCTGATCAACACATAAATTTGATGTTATTGAACTTTTTTTACATTGATGAAACAACAGTAAACTGACTTTTCCTCCCCGCCCTGTATTTTTAACCATTAACACTTTCTGTTTTAAAATATCAGCTATATGTAAAACTGTCTTTGCTAAGACGTTTCCTGGAGAAGTTTATAAACATGATTTATTTTAGATTTTGACAAATTCCAATGAAGAATTTTAAATCTGTATGAACTTTACATAATTCATGAAAAAAAAAGTTGTATTTTCTGAGTTTCTGAAAACCATTAACAACTGTAAGAGTCCCGTGCTGAATCCTTTTTCTAAATGGACCGATGGCCACACATGTTAGAGTCACCCTGAGTCCTGAGGTCAGCAGTCTCTGAATGTCACTGTTGGTCAGTGACTGGATTTTGAAATAGCTGTGGAGAGCACCCGCCACGGTGCTGCTGGCAGTTGGAGTAGCCCTTGCCTGGGAAACTGGCATCTTCGTGTTGCTGCTCTCTGTTTCTCTGTTGGTTGAAGTCAAAAATAACCCTGATCCATTTGGACCTGAATTTCAGAGATGCTTTGAAATTCCAAGTTCGATACAGACTAATGAGGTTGATGAATTTGTTGAGCATTTGGTTATTTTGTATTCATGCTTATTTTCATTATTACTTGTAAAAAATTCGAAAGGCACAGTTCAAGGGACAATAGCATTTTAATTCTTCTACAAAGATAATTGATTTGATTTGGAGTTTGTTTGGTTTTTTGCCTATAATAAATAAATTACATTTTTCCTCTTACTAATCTATTGAGGTAACTTTTTTATCCAGTAGTGGAAGATGAAAACAGTGCTTCACAAATGCATTGCCATCCTTGCTATCTCCCACTGTATATGTTTTCATTTTCTTATTGCAAAATAATTATTATGTTTTAAAATGTATTTAAAACAGTAAGTACTAGTACTGTGGTGATACCAGTTTTGCCTAAGTTAGCTATGTTTAAGTTGGGGGAAAAAAGAACCGTTTTGCAGCGTAGCAGCATGGGCATTTATGCTGTCTCTATTTTAGATGAACAAGACTATGCCTTTTGGCTGTTGGAAATATTGAGCTGTGATGAACCACATTTGTTAGGTCACTATGAAGTAATTGTTTTGAAAAAGTAGCCTTTTTTTGTGGCTTCAGAATTGCCTAGAGGCTAGGATGCAAATTTTCTGGTTTCAACTTATTGAAATTTAATAATGGAATAGGAAGTTCTTTGCCTTCCAATATACTGCTATAATACCTTTTTATTTTACTAAATAAATAAAAATTAAAAAATTCCATCATAGGAAATCAGGGGATTGAAGTACTTGTTTGTTGACACAGCATGCTGTGTCCCTTTTTGATAACGTGGTTCACTATACTGTTTTTAGTGATATGTTATTCCTTTGTATAAATCTAAGGGAATTCATTTCTCCTCTAAAAAATTATTTTCAGAAAGCACTGCTAACATAGTTTTGAAAATGTTCTACTTAGTACTTTGTAGCTTATATTTAATCTAAAATATTACACTTTAATGTACATATATAGTAGCCCTATATTTTTGTTGAGTGTTAAATTCATGAAATCTTTCAAACTTCTGACATAGTGAAGTAACATATATTTAAAAAGAGGAAAATATAGGATTAATTCTGACCCATCGACCTCTAAAAAATTTTGCCCATCTCAGGGCCAGGAAGTAAGACAGTGCATAATTGATGAGCCATTTGAAACTGTAAAAATTGGCCTTAATGTGACTGCATACCATAATACCAAAGACAGTCACATATAGCTAGCAAGTGGTTATCCCTGTCTTTCCTGTGTATCACAGGTCTTTTTCAATCTAAATACTGCATTGATATTGATAAACTGTGTTAAACTGCAGTGGCCTAATTATATTAAGCTCTGGCATCTTTTAGGGAGGGATCATAATAAAGAATAGAATCTTAAAGCTAAATATCAGAAGGAATAATTTTTATTAAGTGGCACATCCCCAAAACCATCAAGCTGAATAGGTAGAAATTATATAAAAATTATCATAAGAAGTTAAAATAAGTTATGGATATCCCTAAGTACAAACCCAAACAGAAAAAAAAAACAAAGAAAAATTATTTGATTGAATAAATGGCCAAAAGCATAACTTGTGATAACCTTGTGTTGTTACTGTTCTGACACATCCCTAGTTTAGTGTGACTTCAAGTGTCAGAAAGATTAACTAGGAATTACTTTGGTTAATGAATTAGTGCATGCAGTCTTTTGAGCTTAAAGAGTAGATCTAAAGAAGAATTCAGAAATCCTTAATCATTGATACCAGCTTGTATATTGTAACAATTTTCTGACAAATAAAACCTTCTTGTTCATTTTTTAGCATTTCAGGGAACACCTTGACAAACTTTTTGCAAAAGGGATTGGAATGCTCGACATTGCTTTAAATGAAGCTTTCAATATGCTCAATGAAGTAAGTGAATGCTTTACAGATTTACACTGCTGACAACGTTCCTGCTGTTTAACAATTACTGTCTTTTTTAAGATAATAAATGAGAACTCACTCAAAAATGTGATGATAGTAAAATATCTATATAACAAGAATTCTGTACAATCTGTATGTGGTGAAAGATATAAACAAACTTACATTTTTATGTATACATTTTATATTAATGTATTTTGTAACTCTCTCTTTGTATAGTATATACAGACAGTTTAGGCCCACTGTCTTGCTGCTTGATAGTTCAGATCCAGAGTTTGCTTTATCATTCTTGCTTTGAGTGTTGACTGGGATACATTCATTAGAAACCAATTCACTCTTCCGCTCAAGGCTCTGAAAAGAGGCACCGTTTACAAAACTACCATGTCTCTCCTTTAAACTGAGATACATTTCTTTCAGTGTAAAAGTTACAGAGACTTAATTGCTGTCTCTCAAATTAAATTCAGTAGAACTCGTATACTACAATTACAGAATCACAGAATGTTCGAGGTTGGA